TAGCATTTTTCGGGATTAAACTGCATGAGCCATTTGCTTTGCCATTCTTCCAGGGTGTTCAGGTCTTTTTGGAGAAGTTGTGAGTCGGTCTGTGTAGAAAGCTCTACATACAATAGACAGTCATCGGCAAATAACCTCACATTTGAGTCAAGCTGATCTGGTAGGTCATTTATATACAAGAGAAAGAGCAATGGCCCCAGGACGGTTCCTTGAGGGACCCCAGACGCTACTTTAACTGGAGCCGACGCCTTCCCTTCAACCACTACTGTTTGCTCCCTGTTGGTCAGGAAAGCCTTTAACCAATTCAGCGTAGGGCCTTGGATTCCATAATACTCCAGTTTTGAGATGAGCCTGCCATGGGGGACTTTATCAAAGGCTTTAGTGAAATCAAGTATTGCTAAATCTACCTGCCGTTTACTGTTTAGTGCGCCAGCTATGTCATGGACTGTTAGTATAAGCTGTGTTTCTGTGGATCGTTTGGCTCTGAATCCATGCTGGTAATCCGTTAATATACTGTAACTTTCTAGGTGCTTCATGATTTGGCTATGGATAATATGTTCAAGTAGTTTGCAGGATATGCAGGTCAGTGAAACAGGTCTGTAGTTGCTGGGGACCGCTCTATCTCCTTTTTTAAAGATGGCGCATATATTTGCATCCCTCCAATCTTTAGGGATTTCTGCAGTGTTTAGCGAGTGTTGGAAAATATTGGTTAGAACAGGCGCGATTTCACTAGCTGTCAACTTGAGGAACCACGGTGGTATTTGGTCTGGTCCGGATGCTTTAGAGGGATTGAGACCTTGAAGCATTTTTTCGACACCATCAGTAGAAACTACTATATGTTCCATTGGAGGAGTACGGGGCTGGCCTAGAGATGGCATATCTGTGGTGTCTTCCTCTGTGAAAACACTTTTGAACTGTGAACTGAGTACTTCTGCTTTTTTCCCACTGTCACTGATGATGGTATTTCCCACCTTTAGGGGTGCTACCCCGACAAGGTCTTTCCTCAGTCCTTTTATGTACGACCAGAATATTTTGGGTTTGTCAACTATAGCTTCTCCCAGTATGTCTGCCACGTATTTAGAGTGTGCTTGTCTTAATCTTTTCTGAACTCCCTTCTTAACTCTCTTATATTTGTTCCAGTCTTCCTCTTGGCCTGTTTTCTTAGCTTTGTTATAGAGCCGCTGCTTCTTACGACAGTGCCTCCTTAGGTTTCTGTTGAACCAAGGCAAGTTGTATCTGCTTGATGTTATCTTACTTGGGATGTGCTTGTTCATCGTGTCTTTCATTTTGTCTTTGAAGTCTGACCACTTCTGTGTAACTGACATATCCTGAGTTCTTTTGTGAAAGAATGTCACAATACGAATAAACAAGTGGACAGAAAGGTAGAAAATACATGCAAGGTGTTTTTGTATTATCAGGAAGTCCATATGGTATCTGTCTGGCTCTGACGATCGGTATGTAACAAATGTACGATAATTATGAAACGCCTTGGTGTAAAAGCATTCGGGCTCAGATGTTTCTTCCCTTTTCAACTACGTACCGCCACGGAGCATACTAGTTTGTTGGCCTTGCGATTACTGTATATTTCTACGCACGATTCCATTTCTACGCACAAAGAAAAGTGTCTGTAGAAAATGTCTGACACTACTAGCGTGCCCGTCGTCACAAGGGAGAGTAGCGTCGCCATGGAAACACCATCCGCGTCCTCATCTGAAACTCCTACCGGGAGTCTGACATTACGGTATGTAATTTTCAGTATCGGTCTTGGCTTGCATAAGCACTTATCTAAAAAGGATGTACATTAAGAACGTGATTGGTAACTTTTAGTTATCTTTTTCCGATTGAAATTATTGAAGAACTATCATTGTGCGGTCTTTAAAAACAATGTTTTTGCGATCGATGTGTATCAGGACGGAAGCTACACCAAGACGCGTGCGTGGGCCCATCAACCTAGAGTACATCACGGAGTCGGACAGGCGGCGACAGGCGCAGTACAAGAGGAAGAAAGGCCTTCTAAAAGCTGTAAGTAGTTTATTTTGGTAGACAATAAAGTTCTCATTCATAGTAAATTATACAACGACGCCCAATTTCCTTCTCTGCATATTTTAGCGACATTGTACGTTTGTCATGGCCGGCGCTTGTTTATCTTACCATGAAAAATGCACGTATTAGTCTTTACAACCATAATTGTGTTGTGAAACACTGTCAACATTTGGCCATTCATTTATTCCTAACAGATCGTAACTTTGTTTAATATGCGTTTCTAATTAGGCACTGGAGTTCCACATTCTGACTGGGTGTGACATTCACCTGGTCCTCAACGAGCCCAAGTGCGGGAGGACAGTGTTTGGGACGGGGGCCCTACAGGACATGTACAAAGCTGGAACACTTAGATCACTGGCCAGTGATAACATCGAGTCTTCAGACACCATCACGGCATCCAACAAGATGGCACTGCCCCCTCTACCAAACACACCCCCCAAAACTTTCCCTTCGGGGGTGCGCGTACCAAACCAGCTACGTTCGTTCATGTTTACTGATGGAGTGTCACCTGAAAAGGTGGCAAAGACATCAGGGCCTGCCCCTACGCAGACGAGGAAAGGCAGAGGGAAAGGGAGAGCAGCTAGCAGCCAGACAACTAAAAAGTCTAACCATGGAAAGGGGCGTGGAAGGGGGCGTGGAAGGGGTAGTTCTTAAGGTGTTCTGATACACATGTGACAACACTACAGGTTATGTGCATGGAAGGAAAATATATTTATGTACCCATGATATCAGTACAGAACATTGTGTTATCTGTAGCTAGTCTGTAGTTATCTGTAGCTAGTCTGGATGGAAATTGTTTACCTTGACTACTTATTAATAGTGACTGTTTTGTACATGTATTTGTGTTCAACTTGTAATTACCATAGTTAATTGTTACAGTGTACGCTTCCAAATAAAACATACATAACATACCACATCACCAATGCAGTACTCCACGTGTCTTATCCATATATCCATATACTAGTATATTATTTACATATAGACAGTAGTTTGCTGAAAATTCTATCAACTTGCTTATGACACAGAGTTCAATCATATTTACAACCAACACATGAGTTTGCAAGATAACCTGATGACAGATGTAATTATATGAAAAATGCTGTACGTTAAGCTCAGAATACATTTTGCACGAAAACACTGAAACTTAAAGGTTGACAAGCATTGTAGAATTTAACATCTCTTGACGAAAGCAGGATTCTCGCCCAGCAAGGGGAGAGGTGATTTCTAATCAGTTAACCACATCACCAATGCAGTACTCCATATGTCTTATCCATATACATGTACTAGTATACATACCTACATGACAACAGACGTTTGCTGAAAATTCTATCAACTTGCCTGTTGCAGTGACACAGTTGAACCATATTTACAACCAACACATAAGCTTGCATGATAACCTGAGAACAGATGAACAATGTAATTATATGCTGTACGTTAAGCTCAGAATACATTTTGTACGATAACATTGAAACATCAAGGTTGACAAGCATTGTAGAAGTTAACATCTCTTGACAAAATCAGGGGTCTTGCCCACAAAGGAGAGAGACAGGTGCTTCATAATCAGTTAATTTCACTCAGAAAAAAAAAAATCAGCACATTTTATTGGAAATACTGGGGAAGTGCTAGGACTTTGGGGAGGGGGTAGCACCCTTGCTTCATTGCTTGGGGAGAGCCCTGAGAAAGTGAAGCATACCAATGAAATATGCACAACATACTAGTACCATATCATATCACAAAATTACATGAGGAAGTACCATGGAAACAACAATAGAACCACTACTCGGTCTGACCAGCATCAGCTAACATATCCAGCTGTAATGCACAGTGTATATTGTCTTGTTCAGTGGCTTCATTCTCTACCTCAAAGTAAAGCTCCAACAGATCCTCTTTCTTTGTTGTTCCAATCCTCTTCTCCATAGCAGACAACCTATCTACATAATACATCTTAACATCTTCTACTACAAACTGTGACAAGAGGTCTTTTGTCTTCTGCACAATAGTGACTTTCGTCTGCCTACTGATGTTCTCTTCTCTACATTTCTCCTCCTCAGTCACATAGACACAAGTTTGTTTCACCTCTGACTTCTGCTTTCCTTCCAGATACACCTCTTCAAATACCTTAGACTTATTCTTACGTGCTATCTTCTCAAAGTCCAGAAGGTCAGATGTCAGCTGCTTGCCTGAGATGGAAGTGTGGGCTACGTCTGCGTTGAACGGTTCCCTCAGATACTGCTCTGAACGAAGTCTTGTCCTCCACACATCCACCTCAGGCTCCAGGTTGTACCGGTGACTGTGTGAGGAAGAGCTGTCTGGCACGCTGATCACGCTGAAGAAATGGGCCCTCAACTGTGAAATAAAGAACAAAAATATGTTGTAGTTTTCTGTGGTATTGATTACATGTAAGTCATTGCTGGTTCAGTGTAGTTTAATAGTACATATACTAAGAAATTAAACTTGCACACTGCATACCGGTATGTTCATCATTGACTTTCCTTTATTCTAATCCATCTAATCCATGCAGTTACATGCACATAATTCATCACAGCAGGGTCATACACGTTTAGTTTTGCAACAGGTATTACACACTTCACTATCATACTTTGTGATCATGACAACACACCTTTTCCAACACATCCAAGTTGCGGAAGACCCTTATCCAGTCGGCTGCAAGTGGGGCGCCCTTGTGCCATGCTTTGGATGCTTTGTTTTTCTCCTCCAGTTTTGCGTCCATCCCCTCCCCCACAGACTTGCCCCCGCTGCTGACCGACTCCGTCTTCTCCATAAAGCTGCGAAGATCTGGTGGGTACATTGTTCTATCCATGGACTCCAGCAGGTCGATCGCTTGATACTTCGGATGGTTTCTCCCACTGAAGAGAGGTGAGAAGACCTCCATCCCTGCTTGGACATATCCAGTGTTGTTGCGCCTGGTCCCCACCCGGAAGTTTTGAATTGCAAGTCCATACAGATTGATCTGTTGCTGTAGAAAGATGTAGTTTGGGTTTCTGATGTGTGGAAGCCAGTTGTATAGGAAGTCGTCTGCTGTGATGGTGTTCTTCTCCCCCCTTCCCAGTTTGTGACGTACATATGGTAGCAGCATTTCATCTGTGCACCCCTTGATGGCGATTTGTAGCATTTGCATACTCTTGTGGTGATCTGCACAGTTCTTTGCGACACGCTGTGCCCCTTCTGACTGGAAACCCATTTCTTGAGCGAGTTCGGCAAACCATACGTCCCAGTTCAGATCAACATATGCCTTCAGCGCATTCATTTCCATATGCAGCTTCCCAACTCTTAGAATGACCCAGTCGAACTCTCTGCACACTGGAATGGTCTGATTCTGGGGGTGATCGATGGATATGTGATCTTGGAAAAGCTTGATGTTGTCGAACGAATGTTTACAGGATGTGCAGTACATGGTTTGAGAGATGACAGTTCGGGTTATCCCCAGTGGCAGCCCGTCCATCGCGACAACTAGCCAACTTCTTGTGTTTGTTTGGTCATGACTGTCAGAATACCTGGCTACATTGGCAATTTTCCCAACATGTCGCAGAACCTTCCTCATGGCCGAGGCTGAGTTAGGATTTACAAACACAGGGTCGGACATTGTGATGGGTGGAGGACTGTCAGGATGAAGAGATGGTATGTCAGAGTTTTCTTCGGCTGTGATGATGGTTATGTCTTGTGAAGTTGTTGTCTTGTCGTTATCAATGCTGATTTGAATCTCCCTTTCTTTTGGGCGGTAGGAGTACTTCCTAACTTCTTGCAGCAGCATGGTTCCAAATACATCTCTCCCTGATGCAGCTTCTTCTACCTGTTTGAGGTTGGCTTGACACTCCTGGTTGGGGCAGATTCGTTTTGTTCTGGGCACTTCTGTCCCGCAAGCAGCACATTTCTTGAGTGTCTTACTCCTCTCCTTTTCTTCCACTTGTTTGTCCACATAGTCCACATAGGTGTCCTCTTCTAGTAGCTGTTCGTTTAGGACTTTGCCCAGTCTCTCGTGGACCAACTTTCTCACTTCTCCTCTGTGGATTGCTTCAGACGTCTTAGATGTATTGATGCAGCCTCTCAGAAGTTCTTTCGTTTCCTCCTCTTCTTGTGCCCTTTCGAGGTAGTTCCCCCAGCATGCTGGAGACAAGTCTCCCCGCCCCTGCACCTCCATTCTGTCTGAATGTTGCACTTGACACACACTGGTCACCACGCTACAGGTCATTTTGCCCTGGGCCCGTACTGACCACTGCTTCTTCAACTTCTGGTCATTGTCAATCGCAACTTCGCAGTCTCCATTGGGGAAGGGCAGTGGCTTTGATGCAATGTTTTGGAGATAGGACTTGACCGTGTCAATCATGCCACCAGCAGAAACTTTCCCCAGCATGTTAACAACAAGCTTACTGTTGGTGATGGCATACGACAGTAAGTTTCTGCTGAAAGAAAATGGGGCAACTAGTGCTGGGGATGCAAGGTGGTACAGTTGCTCCAGGCTCATTACTTTAGATGCAATGGAAGCTCTCTTATCTGCCAGTCCATTTAGAAAGCTTTGGCAAACTGCATTCCTGTTGGCAAAATACTTGTTCGGATCTGTGTCCACGAGTGTCTCTGGTTTTTTGTACAGGCCTCCGATGTCACTGATGTCTTGCAGGATGGCTTCTCTCTGTGAGGATGCGGCTTCGGAGACAAGTGTGCAGATGATGGGAACAGGTACTTCATCCAGGTTTGGTTGGAGGGGGTTGATAATGTATCCACACACATTACTGTCTGTCTGTGTGCTGGCCTCTGCAACTTCTGCTGGGTCTGTCTGGATGCCGCTTTCTGTAATCCCTCCCTGGTCATGTTCTTCTGTACTCCCTCCCTGGTCATGTTCTGCAAGCCTTTTCCCGCCACGTCCTGGGCCAGAGTTCCTGACGACTTTCCTCTTTCTTCCCCCCTTGTTGGCCTGTTTTTCAGCGACGTAGTTGTGGTCGGCCGCGGTTTTGTCATAGCACAACTGACATGCATCACTATGTGCTACAAACAGGTAAGGTGTAGTACGGGTTGTGAAACCATCTTTACTGGGGGTTCTGCGATACCTGTCAAAGACACACCTACATTTGTGACAGATGTCTGGTGGATGAATACTGGGCACATCAGAGGTGAGGTCAATGCCAAAGAGGTTAACAAACTCCTGCTTGTAGGTCAAGGACGAACACGGATTTTTTCTGTCATTGACATCTTGTCCACATAGACGACACTTTCCTCTCAACAAAGCTGTGTGGCCATCCTCCAGCTCTTCATCTACAAATACAAGAAACAGGTAAAATAAATAAAAATCAACGATGTTGAATTGCACGTTACCATAAACCAAGAAAAAAAATCAATCAATTATTACAAAACCGGTTTATCAGTGCACCTGTTGGTTTTTTTAAAGAAACCCCCCCCCCAAAAAAAAACAACATTGAAAGAATATAGTCAATATATGCAGAAAATTGGAAAATCAAACAAAAGTGCATCTTTGTTAGCAAGGGCTATGAACATGCATTACCTTAAAATTAACTGATAAAATAAATCCTACTGGGTGGCAATGGGTGATACAATATAGATATGATACATGTATTAAAATTGATATGATAGGAACGTCTGGGATATGTACATATTAAATTCAGGATGTAACGTTAAGTTGTTCACCCAAGAAACCATAATATAAATTTGACAGATCGATTCCAAAAATTTCAAAATAACGACAAAATCAGCAATTCCATCATCCTGATTTGTTCTTCGAATGCACAATTAAATTATAAATATTCAAGACATTCAACTCCGCGTCAATCTTCGAACTACGGCGTTTTCAAAACACGAGAACCTATTTTCCAGTCGACCCGCGCAGTTTCGCGCCCCCCTCCCACCCCCGTTTAAACAGTTGAAATCGTGACATCGCCCACTTCAAAAACATGAACAATTTTTCTACGGAAATACTAATGGCCGAAACCAATGCAGAAAGATGACAGAGGCTCTATAGTATTCAGGAAAACTATTCATTTTTCTTAAAAACATTGCGCATTGCAACTAGAAGGATTTTTCTCCGACAGAACCGGCGCACTATCGACCCAATTTCCATACAAATACATATTGGCCAAGCGACTCGAGGCACGAAACGTCCTAACTTCAAACCCGTGAACAATTTTTTCAAGACACCGCTGTACCAAACAAAATGGCGCTGGCGAATGTTGGCCACGTAAACAAGCCCAAAAAACTGATTTGAATCACTTAAACTTCCAGAAAAAATTGCAGTTAGACCAGCAAAATGACCAAGAAAATGTGTAAATGGAATTCTTACCTGAAGTTTCGCCCGACATTGCCGCCCGAAGGAGCGAATTCGGTGAGCTTTCTTGGACGAAAAACACACGTGCAGACTTGTCCCTCGGTTCTAGAAGCTTCTATAAGAGCTATGACGTGTTATTGACCTCTGAACTGGGTTATACCATTGAATTATAGGGGTCAGAAGAAGAAAATTCAGTGGAAATCGAGTGAGCTGAACACAGCCCGGCTCTGGCGGTAAAATGACGTCATAGCCGAGCGGGCGATATGATTGGCTGAATACTGGTGTCGTGGACATAGGCAAATCTGCCTACATTCCGAGCTGTCTATTTTCTCAATTTACTCAGGTGAAATGAGTACCTAGCTTTATATATGGAGTTTATTGACTTCGTTCACATTTCAGTACAAATTTAATACATGGCAGCTTCATTTGTATACAAAGATGCTGAATTGCGCATTTTACATGATTAACATGATAACAAATCTATAATTATCTATATTACATGATCAACATGATAACAGGTTAGTTAGAGACAGTCAGAGTCCTCTTGGAGGATGTAAAGCTGGAGGTCCCGTGTTTGAGGAGAGCCACACCTCGAGCATGTTAAAGATTCCACCACACTTGCTTTTGTGAGCATAACAGAACCTCATTCTGTACATGTATGCGAATATGATTAAATGATACTCTAGCCTTCAGTCGCCAAATTAATAACCTGTTTAGCTCTTTTTTGCAGCTCTGTCAATCTGGTATCAGTATTTCTCATAATCTCTGTAGAATCCAATGTGGTTATAAAGAGATACGTTCCAACTAGTGGTTTGGCATCATCATCATTCTGGTCGTGAGAGTGGTTTGGCACTGCTACGTAACACTGATGTGTCTCCATCTACATGTATCTCCACAAAATATTTAGGTATAGCCTATGGACATTATCAAACAGGTAGTAAAATATTCACTCTGGTTCTATTGAAGCATCTACAAACTCTATGCTTCTATATAATAAATTGACATCTCAGTTCATTTTAGCTCAGTATAGTTTATGTGTTGTCTGTAGAACTACTAGAAGGAAATGTAAATAAAAGTAGAATACATTTGGCAGTGCTAAGATATACTCAGGGCTTTACCTACAAATGTACAGTACCTGTATTACTATTATCTATAAATTTCTTGAAGTAACACTTTGGTTTAGCTCATGCATGACTAAATCGCAACCTAGAACCTGGAACGGTGAGTCTGAATCCTTTGAAAGGGGCGACATTAAAGATTACCCAATCCGCGCAGTGCAGATGGCATCCGGAGGATCTCCAAAGCTCCTTAATTGATCTGAGCAGTGTGCAGACGTAGTCATGTGTACCAGCAGCAGCTGTAGACTGTCTCAGTCCTGTGAGTCTGAATGTTGGGCAGATGTTGGAATCAGGAGCTGATTTGGGTCTGATCAGTTCTGCAAGGAGAGTTTTTTGTGATGCCTCAGTGGCGGAGCCATTGGTATAGTACTGCGATTGAGTTGAAAATATTTTAAGAATTCCATGAATGCATTCACTGGGAAACTAAATTTTGTCAACAAGATAACTCAAGAACGGCTCAATGGATCGGTCTCATACTTGGTGGGTGCGTAGGGTGTGACCACAGCTAGAAATGATAAGCCTTTTGGCCTCCTAGTGGCTTCCCTTGGTACTGCATGTCCTAAGCTCCTGAATTGCTCAGCAGTATGCAGACGTAGCCATGTGTACCAGCAGCAGCTGTAGACTGTCTCAGTCCTGTGAGTCTGAATGTTGGGCAGATGTTGGAATCAAGCTGATTTGGGTCTGATCAGTTCTGCAAGGAGAGTTTTTTTGCGATGCCTCAGTGGCGGAGCCGTTGGTATAGTACTGTGATTGAGTTGAAAATATGTCAAGAATTCCACGAATGCAGAACTAAATTTTGTCAACAAGATAATTCAAGAACGGCTGGATGGATTGACCTCATACTTGGTGGGTCTGTAGGGTGTGACTACAGGTAGAAATCATAAGCCTTTTGGCCTCCTAGTGGCTTCCCTAGGTACTGCAGCTCCTAAGCTCCTTAGTTGATCAGCAGTATGCAGACGTAGCCATGTGTATCTGCAGCAGCTGTAGACTGTCTCAGTCCTGTGAGTCTGAATGTTGGGCAGATGTTGGAATCAGGAGATGATTTGGGTCTGATCAGTTCTGCAAGGAGAGTTCTGCAAGCGGAGCCATTGGTGTAGTTCTGCGATTGAGTTGAAAATATGTCAAGAATTCCACGAATGCAGAACTAAATTTTGTCAACAAGATGACGCAAGAACGACTGAATGGATTGGTCTCATACTTGGTGGGTCTGTAGGGTGTGACTACAGCTAGAAATGATAAGCCTTTTGGCCTCCTAGTGGCTTCCCTTGGTACTGCAGCCCCTTAATTGATCAGCAGTGTGCAGACTTAGCCATGTGAATCTGTAGCAGCTGTAGACTGTCTCAGTCCTGTGAGTCTGAATGTTGGGCAGATGTTGGGACAGGTTGGGAGAATCAGGGGCTGATTCGAGGGTTTTCAGTAATAGTTCTGCAAGGAGAGTTTTTCTCTATCTCATCTCTCATTCAGTTACTAGTAACATTTGCAGATATGTGGCCCCTTTAAGATGCAGGGGTGGAAGCTTCTAAGAAGGTAAAATCAGAGTTGCACAGGTATTTCTGATACCTTTCTGATACCAGTGCACCTAACCTGCACTGGTCCATGTACTGGGTATATACAGGTTAGCGCAGGTAAAATTGGAGCTGTGCAGGTATTTCTGAAGCTACCTGCACCTTTTTAGTATGATCCATAAATGCAGATAATGCAGGTAATGCAGTCTTATGCAGATAAGTTTATGATACGTTGAAGGTATGCAGAGAAAAGTATTTTGAGACACCTCCTCATCCCTCAATTCACGTTACATTTGTTACATGCGGCCCCTGAAGGTCTGAATGAAAACCCTATTTCCCCAGTGGAAAGGCGTTTTACTCTACATGTGCCGACTAATTCTGTTTTACCAACCACTTAACTGATGGCAGGGGGAAAGCAATATACGAACATGTACTGCTGAAAACCAGCTCTCTAACTGGGACCTTACGTACGTGCTACATACACACCACATTCAAGCAGTATGGAAAAATCCCATCTCTCATCTGAATCAGCTGTTTGAAATTGCCACATCAGGTGGAGAAAAATTGATGTGTTTCTACTTTCAGTTTAAAAAAAATTACAGTCTCTCTCTCTCTCTTCTCTTTAGATTTCAGCTGAAGCGATCCAAGAAATACAATTTACTCAATAGATATTTGATCCTGAAAATGCTTGAAATAGCATTTCAGAGAGTTTGAAATTCAGGTATCAGGTAGAAAATTTTACGTCCCCAACCCCCAAAATACTAGGGTTAGTGGGTTTTTGCTAGGGTTGGTCGGGAAACTGAAAACGCAACGTTTTTTTCCCAAGGCCTCATCATAAAAGTTTGAACAGGCAAGAGGATTTTCTACCAGGTAGATAAAGATGATTGTTGCTATTTTTACACATAGAATAAATGTATAGGACAATCTTGTAGATTGAATATTCTACTTTAGATATGGTTGTTTGTATTTAATGTATAAACATATGGCTACACTGAAGATGCAACTAGAATGAATTGTATGAGTAGAGAGTACAAATTAATACTCTTAAAAAAGCATTTTTAGCTAAAATGAAAAAGTTCATGCAACCTCTGATGACTGTCTTAACTACATTATATATATATACAGTGTACAATTTCAAGTCAAGCATATAGAAAGAGAAAATGAGATAGAGGGAAGCTTGCTTGAATAGCAAGTCACTGATTCTTGGATAAAGAATTGCAGATCCGCAAATGTAGTGTGAAATGAAGGTATAAGCTACTTTAGCTCACAACTCACCATTCCCTGCATTGAACACACACAGCATACGGTAATGTTGCAAGTTATTATTTCCATGAAACGTCAGGACAGGTATTGCATGTATACATCACGTTGGCCTTTGGCTATATTTTCTTCTTGAAAAATATGGAATTGCTTTGCAGCTTCTGTATGCATGGCTCAAAATACTGGGTGCATGTGCACCTTAGTGCACCCAAATTTGGAGCTGTACACCTAATTTTTCTCTGTGGGTGCACCAGTGCACCCAGATATCTTTGCAGGTTTAAATATGTAAAGTTGTTCAATGTTTAGTTATACTAGTATACAGCATATTTTTAAGTTAACAACACCCAAGTGTCAGAAAAATAATAAAATCATTGTTATACTTAAGAACATTTCTTTAGAAATGAAACATATTTAATTCTTTCTGACATTTTACTTACTATAATTTATGTACTTATATGGTGCACCCCAAAAAACGTTTTTCCCAATTTTTCAGTGCACTTACCCCCAAAAATGGATTTCGAGCCCTGTGTATGTGTTGTGTAAAGTTTTGGGACAGCTTCATGGTGAGTTACTGCTGTGAAGAAACGTCTCCCAGTGCCGACATGTGCCGATTTTCCGACTTGGTGATTTTGCAATCATCCCCTTCCGAGGAAGATTACCAGCCAGGAAAGCATTGTGATCAGACGAAGCTAGATGAATTAAGTGGGCCTTATACTAAGTTATAGTTATGGGCCTAGGAAAAACAATGTTGTGTTTCTAGTTACCCGAAAAACCCAAGCCAAAACTTGACAACCGTAGCTGTTTTTTGGGTCAACTGCTAGCAAGGCCATAGAATAAAATCTTTTGCCTGAATTTCAAATCCTTTGGAAAGTTATTTCTTGTATTTTCAGAAGCAAATTTTGATTGAGTAAAAATTGGGTGAAATATTTGCCGCACAATCAAATGGAAGACAGAGGTCCTGGAAACAACCCTGGTTCTGAAGAAATTCATTTTTACATTCGTAAAACTGTATATATTGGATCACTTCAGCCGAAATCTTTATGAAAAATGAAAGAAAATCCCTGGCTACCTTCCTACCCTTCATTTTTCTCGGGATTGAAACCTGAAACACAATACTAATTTTTCCAGGCCTCACCCATTAAGCATTGCATACATCAAGACAGTGTTTGCGAGGCTTGTCCCTTGCAGCCATCCGTCTACCCATAATTCCCGTCCTTCCTGTATAAAAAGTATCCAATCATGGATACTTACAGCTGTCCCTGCGTCGTCCCCTGACCTTGGAGAATAAACCATCGGCCGAGAGATGCAGTATTTAGTTGGTAATTCCCCCCCGGGTCAGACATCCCAGATTAAAAGCAACCCATGTTCACACTGATGAAATATAGAGACGGAC